ACTGATTGGGAATCACCTGCTCTTCTCACCTTCAGCTCATCCAGGAAGATAAGAGCTCAGGCCACATTGGGAATAGGCAGTTTTTCCACCCACGCTGGCCAGCGGATGACTTTCCCACTCGGGTTGCATTCGATTTGGTTTGGTGTCAGTGATGATTCCAGAAGTTTTCAAATGGCCTCTTCATTTGTTTATAGAAAGAAATATTTTGGTTTGAAAATCTTGCCTATTTGGGGCAGGTAAGCAGCGTGCTCAGAGCCTGCTGGCCATTATCATGGTCCTCAGGAAGAGCGTGTATGGTGCACCTGTGATTTGGACCAACGGAGCTGAATTAATCCTTGAGGAAAACAAGGACGATATCTGTATCAGCTCGGCATTGCCTCTGCTGGATCCCAGTGCATGGATGACAAAGAACAGACAAATTAGCTAACACATACGGAATGAAACACAAAATCAGTATTGTTCTGCTTGAGGAGCAAAGATACCGCAAGGAAGAGTACATGCACAGAGATGAGTAAGTGCCCCTTGTTAGTGCTGCCCCATCCAAGCAGGTGCACGGAGTGATCCCAGAAAGAGCACGCTGAGGACAAGAGTCTGCAAAACAAAATAAGGCAGCATTGCTCTCAGGAGGTCTGCAGAAGGCACCCAGGAGGATCAGAGAGTCACCTGGCAGCTTTGGTACAATTGCACCATGTAGCCATCTGCTGAGTCTGGACCAAGTCAAAGGGAGTGAAGATATGTTTAATTTTTGATGGAGCTAAACTGTCAGAAGGAATACTGCCAAAAAAAGAGAGAAGCGACTTATTTGAAATCTATAAATTGCATTGCATGTTCATTTATCACCTCTAGGAAAAGCAAATAAAGTCACCCCATCTCCTGCAGTGGAGAGCAGGGCCTGTGTGGAGGTGGAGGTGGGGGCAGGACCTGGGCCCTCTTATTGATTATCTATAGAAAACAGTACACTGCCAATGCTCTCAGCTCACATCTGCTGCCCTCCGAGGCATACCCAGGAATATTTACTGTAGAATTTTATTTTTAAAAATTAATTTTATCAGTACAATTTAAATAGACATAATGATCACATCCACTTAAGGGAATTTGTACTTCTACATGGCATATCTTGGGTCCTGTTTTTCTCCCAACCCTCTCTTCCTCATTTTCAAAAGCTTTGTTTCCATCTTTTTCCCTTTCTCGTGATTTTATATTGTCATGGGTGTGAATGGTGTCTCCTATCTTTCTGGTTCACTTCAGTTTTCCTTTGCTTCCTCCTTCAAGCTTTCTCTCCTGCCCTTTCCCTCCAGTTTCCCAAAGCTTGGGTGCTTATCCTTTGCCCCCCAGACTTGCTTCTACTATATTTCTCTTCACTTATTTCTGTTTTGTCCCCCTGTCCCTCTTAAATTTCCCTCCCACAGAATAAAATCACTCAACCGAAGGGAAGGAAACTCACTACATACAAGCTCCTAGTTTATGTTGGATTTTGTTATACAACACTCGAGCTTGCTCATATGGTTAAATGTTCCAGACTAATACAGACCCACACAGTTTGTCAGTTACTAGGCTGTGTTAGTTGCTATTGATTATGCTGATGCACTTCTTTGGCCAGGATATTATACCTGTTGTAATCAGTTCTTCTCCATTGTATGACAACATTGCGACTGGGTTGACAACCACCACCACAGTCCAGTACCTCCAAGGCATAGGGAGAGCAGTTCTAAATCACCTCTAGGCTGATCTAAGCAGAGTTAATTGCTGCTCTTAAATGCCGTGCCCTCCTGTTGTCTTCACTCTCCCTGTTTCCAAGTTGAACAGTAAAAAATTATTCAAGAGAACTTGGACTCTCAGTGTTGCAGGGTCCCTGGCTGCATTCAGGGCAGAGTGGGAATGAAAGGGTTTGCTCATTCTTTCATCCATGTATTTCTTCACAAAGACAGATGGGCCTGCTATGGAGCAAGTCTTTGTTCTGGGCACAGACTTCTCTTTTTAGAGTTTACCTTAGGAAATATGCAAAGCTTGCATTGGTGCCCTTTCCAAAGTTCTCTCAAACTCTTACTCATATCATGCTCCAGAATACAGAGGAATAAGTACAGCAAAACATCATTTATTGAGAGGCACATGAAGAAGCAGAAAGGGATAGAGCACCATCCTAAACTAGCAAAAACAGTGATGGCTGGGCATGTTTAAAAAATGCTATCTATCATTTTTGAAGTCGTTACTAGCTTGCATTTACTATTTTGAAAACATTAACCTGTAGAATGCCTTGAGAAGATTTGACTTACTCATTTACAAGAATACATTACCTGTGTCTAAAGATGGAATTACATTTGTTATTTTTCCCACGTAGGTTAAACCCTTTCTGTTTAGATCTTGCTCAATGTTTAACCTGACAAATATAAAGAATCGAATTCTCTTTTGTTTTGAATTCTACTAGAGTTCTTGAAAGGTTGTTTGCCCAAGGAAAAAATGGCTGAACAAAAATGAATCCATATTGTCCTGTTTTGAGCAAATCTGAGCAGAAATTTAAAAGAGCCTCTGGAATATTTACAGCACAGATGCACCTCATATGGAAGTTTGCTACACTTTTTCATCATTTTCAGAATATCAGATATTGAAATGGAGGGTTCCTGGTGAATAATGTATAGGAAAGGCAGGATTCTCATTTGCCTATTCCTATCCATCCAAAGCCACATAAAGCATTTGTTTATATGTATAATAAGTAGCTGGATTTTCAAAAATACTTGCATTATTCAACTACTTTCATCCAGTGTCACCAGGATGCAAAATATCTTCCACAATCTGATGACTTAGAGTATAAAAGAGTGCCATAAATTTTTTAAAAAAATAAGTATAAATGAACTTGATTTGGGGACATTCTGTAGATCTACTTTTAATTTTATTTTTATGATGTAGTCTGCCAGGACAAGCAGGTGATGAGAGTTATGCCTGTGGGAAGAGGAGAAAGCAACATTCTCCTGAACAGAGACTGATGAAATCAGAAGGGGCAAAACATGGCTTTGCCTGAGACAATAGAGTCGAGCCTCTTCATAACATCATGGAAATTACACTTGGAAATACTGCAAAAGGTTGCTGCGCATTATTGTTAATTACGTTTAGAAACACAGAGCAGTATGATTGCTTAATGGCTTATTTGCTGTTTGAAGAAATGACAGTATTTCTGTGCCAATAAATGCGAAACCACCTGGAAACACTTGCGTGGATTTAGTAGTCTAAATGTCCTTGCTTAATACGTACACCAGATTTTAATGAAACCCTGTGAGTTTGTGTTGAGCAGGTGACCTCCTTATCACTCTGCCTGTGAGGGGAGCTCTCTGCTTGAGACAGGGAAATGCGTAACTCTGAGAGGCTTTATGGGTGTTGGGCAGTGTGTTCACTGGAATACACTACAGTTGATCTCCGGTTCCCTGTGTGCACCGTATCCTGTCCCGAGTACACCTGCCAGCCCTAGTGCTTGTCTCATTCCACAGCTCCCCCTTGTCATCCACACTCTCGGGTTGGAAGGGCTGCAGGGAACCTTAAATTCATCCTGGATATGAGCAGCTGTCAGTCAGAGCATGCCTGGTGGGCAGCATTCACACTGCTCGTGGCGACAGGACACCCCTTTTGAGGATGACACCCACTGTTCTAAAGTTTTAATATGATTGCCTCCAAGTCCTAGGAGACCTGATGTGTTAGCCTGCGCTCTGCTCTTCTGTGTTTACCCCCTCGCTCTCTTTTGTCCCGTAACTGCCGCATCCTCTACTGGCAGTCTTTAACTCTGGGCTGCAGTGATTTCTCCTCATGTAACCACGTGTGAATCACATCGTTTATGCTTCTCCAGACCAAGCTCGGAGAGTGGTGGTTAATAAGTTGATGGGGCAGAAGCCCGTGGATAGCATCACGGCCACCTGTGTGGAGATACTAGGTGTGCACATCGACGGAATGAAGGGAGACCCACAGTGACTGAGGATGAGTACTGTGCCGCTCCACACACATCCCTACAGGCATAAAATAAAAGAATAAAAACCAGCATGCAGGCCAGCAGCCCTTCTATTCACAGTACTCTGGCCATGATCAGGCATTGCCGTGAAAGAGTGCAAAGCATCTGCAGCTTAGAGTGTTCACGTATTTATAACTCATGCAGACGGAAGGACATCCAACAGCACTTTCCATGGAACTTCCATTCTTATCTTCAAAGTATGCTTTTCCTGAGTCCACTCTGGAAACTCCTTCTATTCATTCATGTATTCATCTAGTTGTGGAATATTTAGTGGCTGTGTACTGCATGCTGGATCTCAGTGTGGCTGCTGGGAATGTGCCTGTGAGGAAACAGAGGTACACTGACTGCTATTCATGGAGCTCGTGTTCTAGTGGAGGGCAGGTAGATAAGCAGCATAAACAATAAAGGGAACTGGTTCAGGAGGTGATAAAGGCAGTGAGGTTTTTGTAAATCCTGTGGCGCTCTTCCTTGAGAAGCCTACAGGAGTCTGGCTGTGAACCCAGACTCATGAATCCTGGAAGGCAGAATGATGTGAGATCGTGCCGATGTGGAACAAGAGGGTGTGAGGTACAAAAGGAACAAGATGGAGTCCGTCCTGTCCTCTGCTGTGTCCTCCCTTCTTTGGCAGGTGTAGCCGCTCTTGCTCTCAAATCTCCCAGAGTGGAGCACAGTGCCTGAAGTTTAGGGTAAGGGGAGCAGGAAATGTTTCAGATTTAGGAAATAATTTGGAAAACACACACACACAGGAAACGAAAGAAGAGGAGAGAGAGCTGTCCTGGGCTTCCTATCCATGCCTTGAAAATTCTCCTTTGCTTTTAATTTCTTGGTGAAGATGGTTTGGGGGCACTGGTCGCAGACAGCAGACAGAACAGGACAGAGCGAGGCCTTGGGCTGAGCCTTCTCCGCCTGCCTCGTCACTCTGTGGTCAGAATGTCTGCTCATCTTCAAATTCTGTCAGTTTGAAGCTTAACTTTCTGTTGTTTTCTTTTCCCAACGTTTGTTCCGGCAGATCATGCTGCTCACAGACCCGGAGATCGAGAGCAGTTTATTGATCAGCTCCGACGAAGGGGCCACCTATCAGAAGTACCGGCTGACCTTCTACATCCAGAGCCTGCTCTTCCACCCGAAGCAGGAGGACTGGGTGCTGGCCTACAGTCAGGACCAGAAGGTGAGCGCTTCTTGCCTCTGTGTGCTGCTGAGCAGCTCCCGGGGAGGGCCTGCAGCTTACAATTCACTTCAGGGCCGACCTCTGCTGTGAGAGGCTCTCTGAACTTGAGCTGTGGGAGGCGGAGGAGCAGAGGAGCTCGGTTTGCGGGTTTGAACCATGTAACTGTTTGAAAGGGCACACAGAATAACAGATGCAAAGCCAGACCTCTGGAGGGGCCAGTGGTTGACAGCATTCTGTGTTGGGCAGCTTTCTGTCACTAAAACAAACACCTGAGATTCACCTTATTGAGTGGAAAAGTTTATTCTGGTTCATGATTCTGGTGTTTCTGGCTCATGACTGAGCGGTCCCGTGCTTTGGGCCTCTCTGGAGGCAGCACCCGTGACAGGGCAGTGTGGCAGAGCAAATGCTCTCACCCCCTCATCCAGGAAGCAGAGGCAAGAGAGAGGACAGGCCAGGGCCCCACAGTGTCACTCAGGGACTCCCCGGTGACTTCAAGGCCTCCCCCTAGGACCCTCCTCCTCCAGGCCCACAGCGCCTCCCCAGAGCACTGTTCTGGGGACACATGCACTTTGAGATGACACCGAAATCCAAACTGTAGCAGGTGCCTCCGGCTTCTGGGAGCCACTGACCTCCGCGAGACTGATTTTGTATGTGGCTCAGTCATTTTTCTCGCTATAGAACCCATACATTTGCTCAGATGCTAAAAGGGAAGCATGCACCCCACATAGTTAAGAATACCAACAAAGGCCTTGTTAAAATGAGAGAATGGACCACAGAACACTAATAACATGTGCGTGGGTAACGTCATTCAGAACACAGACATTGCAGTATTTTCTTCTGTGGGTGGTAAAGTTGAAGGAAATGTCCACTTCTCAAGAAAACATCGAAATAGGTTATGCCATTATATGCGTGCACGTATGTCCCATAAGTGTCACACTTTATGGTAGGTGCCATGTACTACGAATGCACCACCAAAATTATAGCCCCTGCCTTGCAGAAGTTATGTTCTTAGAATCTAAAACTAGCAGTGGCCGATTAAATTTAATAAAAAACAGCATGTGTTTGGGCAAATGTGAGAGAAACTCTAGCCATAAAAGCAAATAGGCAAACAGGTGAAATAGTGGAATGCTCTTTTTGAAATGCATTATTCATCGAATTCATTCAGAGAGTTCTCCTCAGAGAAATCATGTCTTAGAAGTTACACGTATTTAAGGAAATCTGGGGCCTACATGTGCTTGGGCTGATACCCATGTAGGGAGCCTCCCTGCAGGCAGGGGAGTGGTTTAAGCAAATTGTCAAGGTCTCCACTGACATGAGCGTTTTGGAGGAAGCAAATTAACATTTTAGGTTTGGAGTTTTAGGCATGCTGCCCTTACTGCCAGATGAAATGCACAGTAAGCCTAAAAACAGAAAAGATTTACAATTAGAAGTATTTATTTTTCCTCTTGAGTAGCCTGGCTACTCTTTTAGCAAAATGTACTGTTTTGTACAATTTTGTTCCTCGAGTCAGGCTACAGTGCATCCAGTGGGGGTGATACGGTTCTCAGGGGTGAGCACTGAGCATCTGGAGCTGGACATCTCCTCTTCTAGGTCAGTGAATGCCATTCAACAGTTGATTATTTTTTTCTCCTGATGCCAGAAGCACCCTAAAGGCTAGATTTACCTGGCTAGGAGAGAACCCTGTATCTTTACAGTTCTGCTAGAGGAAATGCCCCCAAAGTAACCATTCGTGCCCCAGCCTTCAGAGCATGCCTCTTGTAAGAATGCAGCAGAGTGGACATTCCTGGAGTGCATTGTGTCCCCAGCCTAACCATCTACAGCAAACAATGTTTAGTGTCAGCTTCCTTGCCACGGGATGTGTTGCATGGAAAATTAGAATCGCAGGTGCATTTCTGATGTGATTTAAAAATACGTATTAGACTGTGGTTCGTTCTAATTTGGACACTAGGTGGTTGCAACTTTGGTATAAAATAACTGGATCATGGTGCTTCCAATCTATTATGAGATAGAAAATTAATACATTCACTTTCACCAGTAATTCGAGAGAGGATAAGAGGTCAGCATTGTCACTGATGCATAGTGGTTACATATCAGAGTGGCTCAATGAATTACATGAAAGTGGTTTAAAGTTCAGGTGATGGAGATCCAGCCATCTATTAACTCAGAGTCCTGTGAAGTTACTTCACCTGCCGCTGAGTAAGTGTGACAGATTCTGGTTGGAGCAGGCAACAGAATGCTTTATAAAAAGAATGTTATAAACACTCCTATAAAGTTGGGGAAAATGTTTACTGATGGTGAATTTTGGGTGACTAAAATAAAATTTGATAAAGATAATTATAAACACAATTTGGGAACCTGATATTGATTATCTTTTCTGTTTTGATGATTGGACAAAATAAATTGGTTTTCCTAAAAAGAAGCATGGGTCAGGGAAATGCTGCATGGAGTCCCAATTAAAACAGAGTCAGGTAACGATGAACTGTGATACCATGAGGTCAAAGGCAGGGAGAACACGTGGCACAGTGATACATTTGCCCTGGTATCAAACACTGAGGATCTGGACCAAAAGTGATCTTCCGTGACCACAGACCCAGTGACCTTTGAAAACTAGAAGAAGCCTTCGAAGTCTTTATTCTATAGGATGTGTAGAATCCAAAACTCCGAGAGGTTAATATATTTTCTCAAAGGGAAGACTGCTAGTTAGTATCATATGTGAATGTTCTATGAATGGAGAAAACCCTTCCGTGAGACTTGGCAGGGTTCTTACTTTTAAGTGTGGTATTTTTTTAAGGGTGGTGTTTTTATAAGGTATGTAGCCGCCCAGGAAGCTTCAGGCCTCCAGCCCTGAATCCCAGAAGGAGAAGGGGCACTAGCTGGAGCACACAGAGCTGCACCAGGGAATGAGCCACTGGCTGAAGCCGCACTGAGGGGGCCGTGGCCCTGCATCAGGGAGGGTCAGTGACGTGGAATGACAGCCGGCAGTCAGCATGGATTGCAGGGATCTCAGGACTGAGGAGGCACAGCTGTGGGCACCAGGAAGGGCTGAACGTCTGCATTGTCCCACCTATAACTGTTTTTGTCCAAGAAGGGGACATATTTCTTCTTTCAAGGAAGGACCGTGAGCCAGTTGGGCTGTGACAACTACTAGTGTTACTGTTGAAAAACTTCCAGCTGAGATGATGTGGTGTCGTGCTAAGATTCAGTCTGCTGGGTGCTGCAGCCCATCGGCCCTGCTGTCCAGAACCCTCGGTGAAGGTGTCCTCTCTAAGGAAGCACCTTGTAGAGGTGGCACTTCCTGTAGAGCTTACTTAGGAACAGGCTTCCTCTTCCTTACCTTTTAAGATGCACTTTACTCTGTGAAGCCATAGGCACATTTGGTTTCCCCTCACTTCTGTGGCATGTCTTTCTCTTTACCTCTGTGAATGAGACAGCGAAGGTCCCAAGGACAGACTCGGGATCTCTCACTTGGAGAAAGCCCAGAATGGCTGCAGTGCCCACACTATCTAAGCAGGGAGCGCAGGTTTCTTTGTGTGTTTTTTTTTTTTTCCTCATTAAATTTTATTGGTACTTTTTAAGGTATGCACGCTTTTTGATGTAAGCATTACCAGGTACTCAAGGAATTTCATTGATCATACCATCCAGTCTGGCCTGAGATAAGAGTTTTACTGGCCATCAGTTCCACAGAAGGCCAGATTAGGGGTTTAAAAAAGTGGTATTTCAGAAAATCATGATGCTTTAATAATTTAGCCTGCCTCTTTGTTTTTACTTAGAAGAAGAGAGGTGAGCAGCGTTCCGTAGCTACATGGTTGGGTAAGTAGGGTTTTCCAAAGAAACACAATCCACCCACAGCAGGGGAGGCATTGTGAGGAGTAAAAGGCTCAGGCAATCGTGGAAGCTGAGAAGCACAGTACCAAGATCGGCCATCTCCAAGCGGGAAGACTGGATACTCAGTAGTGCAGCTCCACCTAAGTCCAAATACCTTAGAATGAAGTGGGCACAGGAGGCAGGTTTGTGGCTTATGATTTAAGTCCTTATCCAAGTCCAAAGGCTCACGACCTAGAAATGCCCAAGTGTGAGGTCAGGAGGAATTAGAAGTCTCAACTCAAAAGAGAGAGAAATTCAGCCTTCCGCACCTAGGGTGACCGGTGACGGATTGACCCTCACCTACATCGGGGGGTGGTAGATCTTCTCAGTGCTGATCCAGATCCAAATTCCCTCAAGAGAGAGACACACAGACTTACCCAGAAGTCAAGTGCAGTGGTGGAGACACCTCTCAGCCTGTTCAGCATGACAAGTAAGATCAGGGAAGGGAATGCTGTCTTTAATGGGCATGTGGTTATGGAGGCACCTCAGATGGACTGGAGACTGGAGCATGGATCCTTTTCCTGTTGAAGTTGTTCAAGAGGCAGCCCCGGACTAAACAGGCTGGAAATCGGGCAAGACACACCAGCATCTGAACGGTCTATGTGATCCAACACCCTTAGCCTGTCCTCAATGCCCCCACCCAATGAGCATTGTAGATATTATGGAAATCCCAAGTAAAAGAGGCAGAGGTATGATAATTATAGAAAGCACCCTGGACTTCTTACCACTGTGAATGACTCTGGACGATATGAAAAATTCCATGCCATTAAAGGAGCGTGAGGAACTTGCTCTGTTTTATTCATATTGTCTATTTCTGTGACTTAAGCAGCAGGTAAATCAAACATTCTGCTTTCTGCTGTTTGTTTGTCTGATTGATTTTGGGAAATGGAGTAGGCAGGAGAGAAAGTACCCAGTCCTTTACTTCGTTGCTAATTTTCCCCAACTTCCACGCCTCAATGCAGGAAGCCACCCAAGGAAGGCTTAGCAGCAGCTGAGTCTGCCAGATCACATCTTTATTTTAATTTGGCAATAAACTAGTGTACAAACTGTGCTATAAAACATTGCCTCCAACGGCATCTCTCAGTCTGTCTGAAACACCTCCCTAAAAATGATGTGTTGGGAAACATTTGAAATGA